AGCCAGATGCACAAGGCTGGACAGCGCCGCCGCTGCCGCACCTGTCTAGAGCTGGGCAGGCCAGGCCCGGGGACAAAATGGTTGGTGACTTTCCAGCCACATGGAGAGATGGCCATCACCCCATTATCTACTGAGGTAGGTGACCCCAGCTCAGACCAGGGCACCTACTTTAAAGGTCAGGCCTGAGCTTGGGGGCACAATCGCCTCTCTCTGTTTCTATTTCCCATTTCTAAAGCAAGGGATGGAATACTTACCTCAGGGACATGATTTGCAAATTCCAAGCCCAGAATAATGTACAGTGAGCCTTTGCCTCGTTATCACACTCACCTTATGCCCAAACCACAGAGCACCTAGTTTTGCTTTAAACTTTATGAAAAGAGTTTTATACTGCATGTCATCAGAGACGTCTTTTCCCATGAATAATTGTAAGATTCAGACATGAAAAACAAACAAAAAAGAGCAGAAATATCCCAGTGATCCCTATACATGGTATATATCCTAAAGAAATAAGAGCCAAAATACAAAAGGATACATGCACATCCATGTTCATGGCAGCACTATTCACAATAGCAAAGAGATGGAAACAGCCTAACTGCCCACTGGGGGAAGAACGGATCTATAAGCTTTACTCCAAACACACAGTGGATTCCACGCAACGGGCAGGATAATGGTGGATCTGTGAAACACTGTGACATGAGCCTGGAAGGAATTATGCTGAGTGACCAAAGGACACATCTTGGAGAAGTTCACGGTTCCAGGGCAGGAGGAAATCAAGAAAAGGTTTTCATGCTAAAAGAAACAGACATGAATGGGGACCAGGGCTGAGAGGGAACGTGAACGGGGAGGATGTCTCAGGCTAGAGGGTGGACAGGCTCTAGCTCGGGCAGACAGGAGGAGCATCTCCAGTGAGACGGAGACTGCGTGAGAATGACGGGAACAGGCCAAGACAATGGGAGGTTTGAGGACTTGTCGAAGGAGCTGCTCTGTCAATGTCACCGGATTCAAATTAAAAAAAAATAATAATAATATGTAAATATGCAGATTCTGGTGTTTGCTGGCTTTTGGTGTCTACGTCTGCTCCCTTGGTACTTACTTGCACCCTTGTCCACAGGCGCAGCCTTCAGAGCTCTGCAAGTGCTTTCTACCAAACCCAAACCTACCCCCCCAACCCCACCCCTGCCGCCGGCACATCTCCCCTTACATACATTTGAGGGGGCCCGGGTTTGGGAATCACTGACTTATTTCAACATATCTCTGTTTGAAGATGGAGGAGCCACGGTCAAGAGAGGTGTTTGTGAATTGTACATGGCCTTGAAGAAAGGCACTTGTTTCCTAATGGGTTTGCCCAGAGGGATGCCTTTTGCAATCCACCCAGCCACAAAGTGGGAGGGACGTCAGTGGGGGTGCGTGATTTTGTAATGTAGCCCATGCCAATAGCACTTGATAGAGAGTTATCTGGCCAAGATCACGCAGCCTGTTGAAGCAGAGCTAGGTCTTAAGCGGGAGTCCGTTCATTCGGTTCATTCGCAGCCTGGGTCTCTTCCCGCGTCTCCAGACTCTGATCAGGCTGGCTAAATCTTCCGTCGGAGAGGGCCTTTCTGTTGAGGACTGAGCGAGTCCACCTTGGTGGGCAGAGGGGTCCTTTGAGGTCGGCCAGCCACCATGAGCACAGTCTGCCTACCTCGGTCACTGTGCTCGAGCTGGGGAAGAGGGACACTGGGGGTGATCAGGAGTACTAATGAGACCACTTCCAAAGAGATCATCTCAGTTTAGCAGCATTAAGGGATGGAAAACATTAGGGTTGATGGTGTCGTGGGTTAAGAATTCACTGCTCACTGAAAGGTGGAAAATGATGAGGCCCTCTGTTTCTGAGGGGAAGGGCCATCTCAGAAACCCTGGGGAGGCGTTCTCCTCCGTCCTGTGTGGTCCCCGTGAGCTGGAAGTGGCTGGGGGGCAGTGAGTTAAGGGATGGAGACATGTTCTTAGGGGAAGCCCCTTTTAGTATCAGTAAGTACAGCAGTTGAGGTTTGGCAGGCTCTTTCCATGGTCAACCCATCCAGCCTCCACCATGAACCTGTCACGTACAAGGACCCTCTCTCCAAGAAGGCATGTTTCAGCCTCTGTTAGAACACTTGGAGCAACCGGACATCAGCACCTCCAAAGGTGTTGACAGGAAGCTGAGTGGTTAGAGATCACCCGTGATCTGCAATTTGCCTTTTTCGAACCTCTGCTAACTTTCAGTGGTCCTTTGTGGGCTCCCACAAGCATGTCTGCTCCCGTGGTACTTACTTGTATCCTGGTCTTCAGAGCTCTGGAAGTGCTTTCTCCCCGACCCAATTCCCCTCCCCTGCACAGCTCCCTCCATACTTTGCCTCCGACAGGTCGCCCAGCGCTTACCAAGTATCCAGTCCAGGCTAGGCCTGTGGCTCTCAGGAAGGCAGGCCTGTGGAATTGGAGGCTACCAGCTCACTGGGGTCAAAAGTGAGGACCTGTCGTGTCACCTGTATATCTCAGTGCCACAACCATAAGCAAGCAGGTCATGGGCCACATTTCTCTGAGCTGCTCCAGCCACACACGGCCTCATTCTCTTTACCTGTTTTCTCTCTTAGTGGGGTCTTTAACTGACACCGAGCCTAATGGGCTCCAAAGCATGGCCACAGCTGCTCCCAGGGCCTTGGTCCAACCTTGGGGCTCAGCGAGGCAAAGATGTCTCCTCAAAGTCCAAGCCCAACGAGGAGCCCCAGCCCAGAGGAGGCTGCACTTCAGGGGGGCTTAGGCAGCCATGGGCCGGGACTGGGCTCCACACCCTCTCTTCTCTGTGCTCCACACCGTGCGCAAGAGGATCTTATCAAGACTCTCTCAGGAATTGAAGGGCCAGGCTGCCTTGGGACCAGGTTCTGTCCCAGAAGCAATTTAAAGTTTGGTGAGAGACTCAGAGTTCAGGCTTCAACCCCATAGGCCCAATTAGACAATGTTTTGGAAGTCTAGGGAAACCTCCCTCTTCCTATACGGAAACTTCAACTCAAAAAGTTTTCTGCCTTGAAGTAACCCGAGCCCTCCAGGGCTTTGTTCACAATAGACGGTCCAAGGTGTCATCCCTCAAAGAGCTAAAAAGGGAAGAAGAGCAAGAGTTGGGTGACCCACGTAGTCCTTGGAAGTTTAGGAGTGCAAATATGTCCATTCCCTCCCCTCCACACAGTGACCCACCTCCTCCTCTCTCAAAACTACCATCACCCCCAGACAAGCGCTACGTCACCAGAGCATCATAAATGTCAGGCAACAAAGAGGGAGTTGGAGGTCGGCACAGGATGACTGGAAATGGATCTTTGGCTTCAGAGGACCAGCAGAGAGGCTGAGACATGACTGTGAGGGCCAGAAGTTGTCCAGGGGGCTAGGCACACACAGGAGGCACCTGAAGTGTGTGGAACTAGCCCAGGCTCCAAAGAGTGGAGAGGAGAGGAGCCCTGTGTGACAAGGAGGAGGAGGGTGTGACCAGATCGAGATAAACCTGAAGTGGAATATGCAGGATAGAGAAGAATCAACAGTGGCCCAGCTCCCAAATCTTGAGAGTGTGGGGAAAGCCCCGCAGGAAGTAAGGAGAAGCTGCACTGGTGTATTGTTTCTAACTTTCCTTTTTTTCTGTTGGGGTTGATGGCTGTTAGCATTGTGTTGTTTTAGAGGAGCCAGGTGCCATTTTCCAGGGAGTCCAGCTAGGGAAAGGGTACAAGTTCTCTCTGGGAGACTTGTAGGAATGCTTCTTCAAACTGTCTACAGCTAATTTCACTATAGAATTAACCTACCACATTATTCTCCTGTGGCTTCCCTCTCAGGGGAGTGCCCCAGAAGGCTGGTGGGTTGCCTGCTTTGGTGTTGCGGAGGTTGGGCAGAGGTTCCTGCAGCAGCTTGGAATGTTCACAAGTGTTGGCCGAGCTGCCTCATGCCCACCGGCACACAGGCAGGAATTCCCCCATAAGAAGTTGAGCAAAGTATCCCCTGGTGGAGGTCAGCAAGGCTTTCCCCAGTCTCGGCTAGCTACACAGGGTGGAGCTCACCTAGCTGGGTGTGGCGCAGGTGTAAATGCCCTAGGCTAAGGGGAGTGGTCTGGAGGTCAGCAGTGGAGTCTGAGAGAACAGGAAAGAGACAGAGAGGAGAAAAAAAATTAAAAAGTAAGCCCGCTGAGACTGTGCGGGGATATAGAGAAGAGAGGGAAACAAAAGCAACAATGTAGCTGAGTCCTGATCCCTGCCCATGGAGCTGCAAGGGTTTAGTCCCCACCCGAGGTGGCGGCGGTGGCAAGCTGTGGCTGTGTTGAGAAATAGCCCCTGCGCAGCCCTCTGAGACTGTGGAGGGACATAGAGAAGAGAGGGAAACAAAAGTAACAATATAGCTGAACCCCGATCCGTGCCCATGGAGCTTCAAGGGTCCAGTCCCTGCCCCGAGGCAGGTAGCAACAAACTGTGGCTGTGTTGAAACCAAGCCCCCCTATGGGATCCAAATGGCCCCAGCGCTGGCAGAGACAGTGGCGGGGCCAAGGTCAAGCCCCAGCTGGCTTCCACTGAGGTAAGCCAAAAGCCCCCAGCCCCTCAAAACCCCGTGGGTCTGTGCTTGCTTATCTTTATGGTGCTCCCCCTGCCTTCCAGCAGCGTTGAATTTCCCTCTAAGCAACTCTCCTGGGCTGAATTCTGTGGAGTCCCTCTGGTATGTGTCACTCCATCGCCATCTTCCTGGAAGTCCAGTTTCTGGCCTTTCAATACACGGTTTCTGAGCATTGATTATGTCCAGCTGGTTCCTGGAAATAAAGATAAAAATAAGAAATCATTTTTGTGATGGAGGAGTGTATGGTGGATTGAAGTGTTGTATTGGAGATGGTGATCAAATGTCAATGCTAACAAGAGTTACTACTTATTGACAATGGTTCTCCAACATCTTATCTAACATTCACATCAAGCCTGTGAAGTAGACATGCAGGTGTTTGTTTTGAGTTTTTTGTTGATTTGCTTGTTGGTTTGAAACTGACCTGTGTGCAACCAAAACATTGAAGTCCGTTTCCATGCTACTGTTCCTCCTTGCGTAACCACTCCAGGCCAGTGTTTAGATCTGATGGGGAAGGGAACTGGAGGGTTAGGCAACTATTTGGATGTGAACAAATAGAAGGACCCTCCTTCCTGGGCTGCAGCATGCTGCGTTTATGATATCTAGCACCCTGAGCGTCTGCCCTCTGAATGCTAGGCGCCTCCCCATCTACCACCTTCAGATTTCCTTGGGGCTAGGAAAGGTTGTATGGTTCGTGGACGTTGGACAGTTCACATCTAGTGAGAATTCTAACACGAAACAAAAGGGATCCGAGAAGTGTCAATACTCCCTGCCTAGTCAATTCCATGCTACTTATGAAGTCACTGAATTCGAGTTAGGAGAAACCAAACTCACTGCTATGACTCATAGTGACCCCTGCGGGTTTCCAAAACGGTAACTGTTTAAGGGAGCACCAAGCCCAGTCTTTCTTTCTTTTTTTTTTCTAATGGCATTCTTTTTTTTTAAATCATTTTATTAGGGGCTCATACAACTCTTATCATAATCCATACATACATCAATTGTGTAAAGCACATTTGTACATTCATTGCCCTCATCA